ACGAACCTGCCCGAGGACATCACGTTGCAGATCGGTATGGGAACTTAAAAAACATCGTTTTGAAAAGTCAACTCCCGAGGTACTCGTGAGTTTGAGAAAAGTCAGAAAATTATGCACTGATTTCAAAGCATGCAGCCTTATGGGTTCACTATAACATTTACTCATGAAACTGACTGAGTTCGGAATAAGCCCTACCAAATGAGCGAAGTCCGATGGCTAAAGTTCTGCTTCTCAACGAAAGTAGAGGGGTATGGAGTGCAAATTCTGCCGCTTTCTAACAACTGCAATGGCAACGTATAACCTGTTGATTTAGAAGACTACCCGTTTTGTCGCCCCCAGAACAGTATTAGCTTGAAAATAGCTTCCCATGCAAGAAAACATGAGATGTCGACTCTTTCATATGATTGGTATTATGTTTTAGTATGAGTGGGCTGCGATTTCCATCTATCCACTTGTACGTGGAAGGGAAGGATATATTATGTTCTCCTTCCGCACTCTGTTGTTTGCCATCAGTTTATCGTGTTTCATGTGATTTTGCGAAAGATGTATCACGTTCAGCAGTGTAGGTTATAATTTACTGCCAAATTGAGTTGTAAAGGAGTTCATTTTATCTTCATCCTTTGTTTCCTGTTTTTCAGCACTTCTGCCGGAGGCAGTCTTGCTGAAGTTTTCGTAAGATGTTGAAGACAAGAGCGTGTCAATTCATGTTATACTGACTGGCGTTTCAAAGTTCCGTTTTAGGTTGGAGTAGAACGTGACTTCGATATCGTTTTAGTAAAAGTAAAGTTTTGTGGCTTGAAACGTAAGAAGTTTCCCAAATCCGCCTTTTTCATCGTATATGTGGGAAGTTAGGTTCCTAGACACGTTTATGGTACTGGATGGTCATAGCAATACAGTGGAACCCATCGATTTTTCGAACCTACCGATAACTCGAACCACTGGAAAGTCGCTTCCCTCGGCTTCAGTCGAACACTTTGATTTTACCAAGGATTTCTCTAAACTACCCCGTTTCTCAAACCAATTTTCGTTTCCCTTGGAGGTTCAAAAAATCGGGATTCCTCTGTACTCTAACATCATGCAGCCTAAGTGTTTTCAACGGAACCTAAAGATGGCGGACCACGCATCGACACATTTCATATGTAACAGGGCGTAGTATATTTTTAAAGCTCCAGTTGTGGAAGGGTGTTTATGTATACCACACACTCAACAAAGGAGGGTTTTTAATAGGTATGTTAGCTGTCATTACACTAATTTACTCTTTTTAGCCATCTTATCGCAATATTTTTAAAGCGGGTGGGACTGACTGCGTGGGTGTGCTTCGGAATGAATCGCTCGAAAGTTGTAGCTGGAAATCAACGGTGTAGCTACAACATTGACTGTTAATTAGCCGGTGTGTTTTGAAAGTCAATAAAAATTGAATAGGTTGAGAATTTCTGTCGAACATTTTCTTTTCTTAATAACTATTAACTTGCGCCTACATGCATGCATTGGTGAGCAAGGAAGGAATTTCTATGCCGTAACTCCGAGTCAAGACCTTCCCAACTTCTAACTAAGCACTAGAAAATTTGAAAATAATGTTTATTTCGCAGATTCTAAGAAACCTGAAAACAAAAGTAGGAATTGCTACCCTGTAGGTTCTATTTGAATAACCACACACCAGGTTTCACCTTGGAACTACAACGGAAAGTTTGACTCTACCCGAGCGTTGAAGTCAATGTAACATTTATATTCACAAAGGCTTCCAGTTATTGCCAATGTTAACGAAACGCCGTTACCAGACAACGCACGTCAGTAGGAATTAGGCAAAACTTGAACATCTCTATAAGTTTCAATTGCTGCGAAATCGCAACCATTGTGTTGCAGGGATGACTGAAACATTTAGATTTAATAGCATACAGGAACAAGACTGAACCTAACGTTTGTTGTTGTTCTTGCTAAAAATACAGTAATTTTAGAACCATTTTCGATCTTGGTTACCGTTTCTTTGTACGCCTGATTCTGCTAAACCTTGAAAAAAATTCGTAGTTCTGGAGATCGCGTACCAAGGGCAAAATTTAATCGATGCCAGTACTCAGTCTGGATTACGTGTGACACTTCTTAACCCTTCAAATACTAGTCATGCCTGCATGCGAACGTTATTATCATAAAACAGCTAGAACTTTGTGTTTGAATCGTGATAATTCCGTCCTTCCGTAGGCTGAATATAAATGAAAGTCAGTCAAAGTTAAATCAACAAAGGTAACTTGATGTGTCTTCTCTATCGCTGAGTGATTCGTCCAGGACGGCAGACAGAACTAAAGTTTGATCAAACTTTATCTACGGTAATTCAAAATTCCATGAAAGATTTTCCAAAGATACGAAACAGTTTGTCAAGAACTTTTCGGCCAAATAACTCATAAGCGCCATTACGTAATGTTAATATTTTTCGTTGGTGTGTCTAACAAGTATAGTATCTCTCATGTTAAATCTTAAGATCCTCCTCTCCAAGACAGTATGGCGGACGTAGACAACAGCCTGCAACTAGCTCTTGAAAGTCACAAGTTTAAACTTCACCCTAAAAATACTTTCAACAGCCGCCAAAATAAACTTTGTTGCGTGATGAAATTGGCAAAACAGGAAGAAGTTATCCTCGTGTTTTAACTTGTTTTCATGACAACTGCGAGGATATAAACTCATCTATCGCCACTCAAATTTTACTGCAACGAATTTGTAAGATTTTATCACAGTTAGCGTGATAGAGTGCAGGATTTTGTTCAGAAAAAAAAACCATTGCCAAAAAATCAGTGTGCTTTATTTTCCCTCTTGGTCCCATGCCAATCATTTTCTTAGAGCTTCAGAGCTGAAACGGAACTTGTCAAAAATAAAGAAATGACCTTTCAGTTCTGAACAAATTTGACGAACAATATTAAGAGAATCCCGGAAAAATATAGTTCAGAAACCTTACTAATGAACGGCTTATGAGCTACTTGGGTTTTTGCCACTTATATCAAAAATTCCGCTATTTATTTTAACGTGTCAAGCTGTTTTAACGTTATTTCTGCAACCTGAAATGAATTAAGAGAAGATGATTTTTTCAGGGCTACAAAAACAACTCTCGATAAGTCGCCCATGCGTGCCGCCCTTCTTTTAGCAAAGAATGCGCGCAATTAGGCCAGATACGCCTGGAATCCTTGGCAAGGTTATAAACAACTTAATTCGACGCCTTTTATTCGAAAGCATAGCGTAATTGGCATTTCTCTTGGGGGTGAGGCGAGTTTTGCCAGGGCGGTAAGCGACACTTGGTCTCTCGTGTCAAGTGCGGGGTTGTTTACGAAAGTTTATAGGCACGTACGCGGATTTTGAACAAACACGATTTTGTTCCACTTTTATTCCACTCCGGGGGAGTGAACTTTAATATTCTTGCAGCGAAAGTAGTGAGTAAAAATCTCCCTCTGCCTTCCTGTCAGACTTCCATTTATTGAAGTAACGCATTCTATTTGTGACTTTTTAATTAGAGTCTGCTTGCTGTTAGGGGGTTTCTGTTTATAAACCTTCAGGGGACAAAAACTTCTCTCCCTCTCCTGTTCGCATTCTGTCTCTCCCCCCGTTTAACATTCAGTTGTTATATTTGCCTATATCTTTTAATTGGCGGTTAGGTCTGTACTTAAAATCTCCCACAAAATCATAAGCTGATTTGTCCCTTGTCCAGTCTATACATAATGCAATTTAGCAGATTTGTTTTCAGCCAAAACAACCAAGCTCGTTGACCGTCTGTGAAAGGTTTGATTGGTGTTGAAAAGGGCGCACGTGGTTGAACACGCACTGACATTATTTATTACGTCGCTCAATTCTCCAGAAAAAAAAAAAAACTGCTAACAGCGAAGATTCGGACATGCCCCGGCAGAAACTCGCTTACGCTAGCTTAAGTCATGTATTTCCGGAGAAGATGTGTCCAAAAAAACGAATAATATTAAATAACAATAATGATAATAACAAATAAAAAAAGAATAAAAACACAGAATTGATCTCCCAGCTCGAGTTAAGTCACTATTACGTAAGCAAGTTAATTTAGATGCAGAATCCAGTTAAGTCCTTGTTCAACACTTCCAAACATACCACAACACTCTTGAAAGTTCACGAACTCTTAAGACCCAAGTCACGTTTTCTTGTCGCGTTGAAATAGTTGTTTTCCTTTCTCGTTTGGAATGACAACAATGACGGTCGCATGTAAATTCTAAGCACCTTATTTTAATACCACCCGGAGAAGGTCAATGTTAGAACGTAGTTGGCATTTTTCAACATTGTCTTCTTTTTGTCGAATTGGCGGTATGTTTTATATTAAATCACGCGTATTTCAGGGCCAGAGATAACAGAACTTCCGTGCTCCCGTAACGAACAATTTAACATGGCTTGACGCCCAGCTGAGGGCGCATAATAATAGCTCTCTTTGTTGTGATCGGTGTTGCTACTTGGAGAGATTAAGATTTAACACTGAAGATCACGCACGTCTTAAACAGGCTTTAAATCTTCTTATACACCGAAAGACAGCTATAGAATGCTCATCTAATCGGAGAGTAAACATTTTACTGCCTAACTTTGGTGGTGTCGTTAACGGCAGTCAAGGACAACTTCGTCGTATCGTCTGTAAATACAACTTTAATGAATCCTCGAATAAAGTCGAGAATGAAGCTTTTGGCCTTTTTAAGTGGTAATTTAGGACTTACTTAAGTTATTGACGACAATTTTAACGTTTTCCCAGTTATTGAAGTTGATAATTAAACGTTCGTGACTTTCGAGTTCCACTTGAATGAAACTATCGCGTGATAAGTCATTTCAGTCGAAAACAACTTCCGTTTAAAGATCACACCATCAATATCACTTATGCCTTTACTTACTTAACCACTTGGGTTGTTTTTATATAACATACCGTCTCTTTGAACTCTTTTAAATAGTTTTATTTCGATCCACTAAGTTTACAAATTAGTGTTTATTCATGTATTTTACAATAAGGATCTAAAATTGTGTTACAGTCATTTATTAATTGGAAAACCACTGATTCGCCGTTGTTGTGGCGTCTGCGGTAACTAAGCTAAATTGTTATTGCCATCATGAACACTTCAGTAGAATCCTGCGTTTTAACTGTTCATTAATTTCTATTTTTTTGAATTACAATAATCAAGTAAAACAACTAACAATAAAACATGCATTTTACAAAATCAGAATATAATTAGACTTCCTGTTAAATTTTTACACGTGCTATTAAAATGAGTTTATCTCTTCAGTGAAAATTTTATCGGATCTCAATTTTATAAATTTAGTACTATTTAACGCTAAAATAAGAAATGCATTGATTACTGAGTCGTAATAATTTTACATTTTCTTCCTCCGGTTTGTATGGTTACCGAATTGTTTAGTAAGTCAGTTACATAACGGCCTGAATTTCAACGCAAAATTTGACGCGTTGCTTAGTCCTTAAAAAAAAGTTGAATTTCGATCGTTTCCACTCTCAGCTACTCGGTGAAAAAAACAAACAGAAAAAAAAACAACAGAAGGACAAACAGGCGAATCTTGCAAAAATAAAGTTGGGGGACAAAAATAACACCAACTTACGATCAACAGGAAATTCAGTGAGGGAATATATAACTTTACATAAATAGAATGTGATAATAATAATAATAACGACAATGATGATACAGAAATATGTTGTAGCATTTAAGAATTTAATGATAATCTCACGCGCAGCATGTTATTAAGTCTTGAAATTTCATTTCACTTCAAACATATTTTCCGAGGGTTTCAAATAATACATGTATATAAATATCAATACTATATTCTTTAGCTCTCTTTCCATATTATGGTACTTTTCCATGCTTAGTTTATTATATTTTAATTTCAATGTGGGATTCTGCCTCCTCTTGCGGCGCCTAACGCTATAACCTCTCGAGGCACACGAGCAATAAATAAATAAGAAACAAAACCGAATTTGCGAATAAAAAAGATCCACAGCCCAATTTTGAAGGACATTGGGTGCGTTGTCAATACTTTTCAACGATTTGTATAAATGCACTAACGCGTGAATTTCGAGACTTGGTCTAATCGAGTTCTAAAAGCGATTGCAAACTTTAACATGGCTCTACTCAGTGTGAAGTGCTACTGATATTGAAATGTATGTTCTAAAACAAACAGCCACTCGGCTGTAATTTCGAGAATTCTGCCCGCATCTAAGAGCAGGTTTTAAAATTTAAAATTAAATAGCCAACAAAGTACTCGACTTGTGTACACAACTACACGATTCTAAGAGATTTTTGCCACTAGTACGGTCTCCATACTCCCTTGGGAGTTGTGGTACCGTTGCGTTCGTGTAGCGCTGTATCGGCGTGCGACACCTCGAGTCCCGTGTGGTGATTAACAACATGGTTGGACATGTTATCAATGGGTTCCTGCTTTAGCGTGATCATTCCATGTCCTTCACTCCTTGACAGAGTGTTGAAACCACCCACACTGTTCAAATCTACGTTGCCTAGAGGCAGAGGTATCCTCTGTGAAACGGCGGGGCTTCCAACCCCCATGGTTTGTCCCACTAAGGGGACCACACCGGGTCTCGATAGGGGGAACGACACCCCACTGGTCGTGTTCGCCTGAGACATGGGTCCAACCATAGAGGTGGAGGTAGTTTGTGTTATAGGCATGTTTCCTTTGGTCATTGCCGTTTGCTGCATGAACGGTTGTGGGCGAAACGTATAGCCGTTGTTCACCATGCCATTTGGCAAGCTATTGTTGTTCAACATCGAATTGTTCATAACAGAATTCGTTCCGGGCGCCGCGTTCAACTGCTGGCATTGTGAAGAGAACATGCTGTGAGCTGCATCCAGAGGCGGGGCCGGACAGACTTGATTCATCCCTCCTGCTATACCGTCTGCGACTGTTGTAAGAGTCGTGTTCGTCGTCGCTTGCGGCGATGAACGAAAAGGAAACTGCGCAATGCCCTGAAAACGCGGCTCCGAGTAGTGAGGTAGCATTGGTACGTTTCCATTTGTGTTCGGCAAGTTCACCTGCGGTCTTGGAGGTGGAAGCCCGTTTGGTTGCAGAGCACTCAGCGCAGACAAGTTCACCGGAGCTTCAGGCGGTGGATGGGGCGGTAAGAAGCTCTGAAAGCTGTGGAAACCCCACGTCGATGGTGAACGAATTTGATTGTTGTCTGTGAATAAAAAAGCAGCAAACATGTCACTTGTTTTGGATACTGTTAAAGTTCAAACCCTACAGTGGATTAATTTTGAAAATAAGCTTTACACGAGACCGCTCATTTCCTTTCTCCATTTATCACACGGCGATCGCCAAGGGCAAAATGAACACGCGCGTTCAAAGAAGAGCTCGATTATATGTATCTTTTTTTACCGGTTTTAATGAAGAGTCAGTACAGTAACTGTTTTGAGCGTAGCTTTAGGTAGGTGTATTCCGAGTCCTAAAAACCATCGCTCTCGAGTTTAACTGTAATCACTGATAGTGAAACCAATGGACAGACCATCAACCACACAATTAGAGAGCACCTAAAACAATTAGTTCCCAAAGTCAAATGTAATTAAAAAAACAAAACTGGTTGACCGCATGCTATCGATGTTACACAGTTCGCACTTAACTTTTGGGGCTATTATTTGAAGCAGAAGGAAATTGTGACAACCAAAATTGAAAGCTTGTCTTGTCTTTCGAATTCATATCAAGGTGAACTACCGGCCAGCGCCCTAAACTCGCTTCCGATCAATTGTGGCACTCTTTCAATTTTGAAGTATTTAGAATTACAACAGAGCAGATTTGCTTTTGATTGAAGTGGCCTCAACGTTCCTGCAACATCAAAGCCTGAGAAGTCAAATTTTACATCGTTACCGGCTAAACGGCCCATACAGGACTAAAAATTGTCAAAACTGAAACGAATCTTTGCCAAAAAAAAATTTACGACCAAAGTGCTAAATCTTGATTTGAGACGAGACAGATGGAAGTACTATTCTAAAAGCGGAAAGATCAACCTTCAACGAGAGCAATCTTGTTTGCACTTGGTGTCCGACAAATAGCACCTGAGTTTCTAGTTCATGAATAGTTCATGAATTCACCAAAGAACGTAGACTGCAAAACCCCCAAGGACCTATTTAGAAAACGAAACCTTCGAATCAGTGACTTCTAGGTAACCTGCCAAAACACTCGTTCGCTTCTTGTGCACTGGACAAAGCAATAATTAGTTTCCCAATAGGAAATAAAAGAAATTTCGCACACAATTGAAAGGTGTGTTTTTTGAAAGAAGTGTTTTTGTTGTCTAGACAGGTAAATGGGTAAAATGTTTCCGCTTCCAACATGTGGCAACTTCGACAACAAACAATTCACTCGGCCATTTTCTACCAGTTAGCAACAATGAACCCCTTAAAAACCACTCGATCTTCTTTCAGTTGCGCAAAAGTTAACAAAGAAAACAAAACGCAGAGTCGACTTTTCTGTTGCGATTTACTGCACTAACTAAAAACAGTGCCGTTTTTGTGATGAAACACTTCCGGAAACCAACGTTGGATACGGAGTCCATAGCATTTCCTCGGGTCTGGCTATCTTTCTTTACTTTTCAACGACATTCCCTCCAACTTGATAACAGCTGGAGGAAATAATAAAACTCAAATAATGGCTTGTCGTTCAGTTCGAAAAACAAGATAAGGGTAAAGGGGGTTTGCCGAAAACGAAACTTACCGGCAGCGAGGGCACTGAAGGCAGAAGTTGCATCTGGAGGCAGTTTCACGGGCTGCAGAGGACCTGGGTGAAGCTCTGTGAAGGGGGCAAAGCTGTTGTCCCTGATGGAGCGTCGAAGACCCTCAAAGCCCAACTCTGAGAGTCGATCCGAAAAGTGAAACTGTTCGTAAGCATTTGCTTGGTCTCTCTCATCTGAACGCGTTCTGTGCCCTGTCAAAGAAAACGAATTTCCTGTTATGTGGGCGACTTGACGCCGGTCTATAGTTGTTTCTCTCCACGCATTTTAAATAGAGCTTTGATTTGGGAAATATGCCAAACGGCACAGGCAAGTTTCCAGAGCCACAAATCGCTAAAAATCTTAGTAACAAAGGTCTGCACGACCACTCTAAATAAGCCACGACTTTAAAAGTTTCTTTGATTCTTTACGTTGGTTTCGGAGTTATAAAATAAAGAAAATTAATGTTGGGGTTTGTTTTGGGCGCATAAATACACGGGCCAACGGCTTCAGAGTACCGGGCAGACATTGGAAGAGCGCTTTGCATTCGAAGTATTCTGGAATTTCAACTCTTCAATTAAGAACTGCCACTCGTTCGCTGATATTTCGTTTACATTTTTCCGCATCTGAGGAAACTGCAGTTGGAGGAAATTATATCAGCGTTTATTTAATCACCGAAAGCTTTAAAGTCACTACAAAGCTACAATATTATCTCGATTCTCGACCGGCACACCCCAACAACATTGGTAACATTTCTTTCTCATGTACAGAGAAGATTTAAGTTTTTGGTAAACTGATGGCAGAACAAACAAGACGCAGTATCGAAGCAAAGTTATTTATAGCTTTCTTATCAAAAGGACGTAAACGGAAATAAGGGATACGGCCAAAATCGTCATTGCTTAGCATGTTGGAGGGCTGATACAATTTTTGACTGAAATTTTCAAAGCAATTGCGATCAGGTAAGCGCAACAATCTTTCGGTAAATTAAGATCTCGAATCAGCCAAGTAAAGCTATTGGCCGATACTTGCTTGTTGTGAATATATACAGAGATAAAACACTGAAACGGCCATATGATCTGAATTCTAGTAAAAGTGTAAGAAGACATAGAGGAGCTACAGCGAAGGTAAAAATTGTTTCACTTTCACACAAGTGCAGACACTTCGCATTGCGGCCAGACTTTTAACAAGATTTCTATTTTCGATAAAATGAGGCAAGCAGCATGGATTTCCCCTGGAAAATCCGCAACGTCGTTCTCTCCAAGTGTGAACAGTAGGATGCTAAAGGAATTATCAGTTACGCCAACACAGGGAATCTTTGTACCAGTAATAATTATATTAAAGCTGTGGAATAGCCGTCGACCTAAATTTAGCTGAGAATCAATTATAGCTTAGAATAAGAACATCTGATCGCATGAGGCAAACGGCGGCAAAATCTATAATCGTCTTTTGAGATAGGTTTATACGCTCCATCTCATTACCATTCGTTTCTATCTCGTTTGAGAGGATTTCTACGTCGGTTTTCATTTTGAATAGCAGGAAAATAATAAAATTAAAAAAAAATTCACTTTCTTTTTAATATCTGGTTCTCAATTTGCAAACTTTTAGCTTTCCAATTACAAAGCTCCTTCTCCGAGTTAATTTAGATTCTTTTCAACGATTTTGCTGGTGAATTCCGAGAAAACGAATTTGTACACAGAGCATTTTGAGAAAAGCTTAAGTAGAGAATTTTAATATCGTTAAAAACAGAAAAAGAAACGTAGATGTCCGACAACAACAATTTTTTATTTAAAAAACGCAGAAACTGAAAAACATATGGCCAATTATTTTATTGCCATCCATTTAACAAGTTTTCCACATTATTTGGATCCAAAGCTGCACCATTAATATTACACTCAGAGATAAGACCGAAAAAAAGAAGAAAAAAAGTGAAGCTTTGAGGCAAATCTGTTGTAAACATATACTGATGCTTGCATGAAATTAAAGCTTAATAATAAATTCTGTGTATATCAAATCAACTGAGAAATGATGTGTTTATTTCAGGGGCAGAAAACTTGTAAGCAAAGATAAAGAAATCTTGAGTAAGAGTTTCTTGAAGTTAGCATTCTCTATAAAATTTAGTGGTTCTATTTTAATAGTATTGAATTTAATATGGGGGTTGAGGTTTCACTCTGGAGATGTGCTGAAACCTGCTGAAACAAAATCCACTGGGTGACAAGAAAGGCTCAAGCTTTGAGAAACAGTTTAAATACGTCAAGTAATTCCCAACGCTTGATCTCTTTGATAGAACCTCTATTTTGTGGTTTGGGGTAAAGTTCTAGATGGCAAAGGAAAAATGGGGACTCCAAAAGGATCAATTCAATGAATGTATATGTGGTTTTTACCAAACAAACTCCTTACATTTCACTTAAACCTTACCAGAGTAAACCACATTGAGTCATGATTTTGCATAGAAAACCAATAAGTTGGGGAAAAAATTGACACTGAGGAATTTGTAAAATAAAAGCGATAAAATGACTTGATTGATTTTAAAGAGGATTTAATGTTTTTGGAATCAAAGAATTCTGAAACCTTTACCTGACGATATTAAATTTTTTTGTCAAAAGAAATATTGAATTTCCTGAACATCTGGCTTTTAATTGAAATTTTTTTGTACACAGTTCTTCGGTGTATGTCATAAAATATTAAACAACACAATACCCCAACAGTGACAGAATTCTTCATTATCAATAATCAATCTGTCATTTTCTCCTCTGCTTATATACATAGCTATGGTCCAGCTTCAAATTACTTCTTTTGTTTATCAGGACACAAAACCATGAATTTTGATTTTTAGACATCTATATGATTTGGTGGTTTCAAGTTAGAAGTTTCATTTTGACCTTGCAGCCATCAAATAGAGATTTTGTTGATGCTGGTGGGGTTTCGGAAAAATTATGTGGAATTCCTGATGACTTTTCAAAAGAAAAATTTCTAATTGACTTGAGAAGAGTTGATTGTCAGGACTTTTTTGGGTTTTACACAAAATTGCAAGCCATTTTTGCTCCTGTGCACTTATGACAATTAAAACCAGATCAACTAAAAAAATCCTATTTCGAGGCCAACCCGACAAATGTAGCCATATTGCCCTTCGTCCAGTCAGAAATAAGAAAAGAAAACACACAAGAAGCAAATCAATTACTGCCCTAATTCAATTTAAAAGGGTAACCAAAAAGTAAAATTGAACTTTCTTCATAGGGCAAGATCAGATAAAGCTTAAAACTAAAAACTAATTACTCAGTTTCACTCAGAACATATGTTTCTTTCTGAAATTGAAAATAAACTCAACACATTTGACTGGATTACTCTGTTTGCAAAAAAACTTAGTAGAACTATATCAAAAGCACACTTTATTATTTGCTTTCAATTTCTAGTCATGTCTTGTTCTTTGTCTCAAAGACATCTAATTTCAGAGTATTTTTTATCTGATTTATTAAGAAGAAAGAGAAATGCTATTAAATTAACAAATGCATTTCTAAAAGCCTCCTACGACAGGTGAAATGACGGCATTCCGAATACAGCACCTGTCCTGCCACCTGCATCTGTATTGTATGGATTCTTCAAAACATACGATAATAAATTCAATTAACGCAGCAACCAATGCCTTGCGTCCGTTTTATGAATCATTAATTGCAAATTAAACATTAATCATGTACCCGTGTATCGCCTAAATCACTTGTTCCCGCTACGCGTGGCTTTGCAATAGAATGAGACAACGGGATGGCTTTATTTATCTAAACACCGCGTATGTTTATTTGTGGTGAGTCGGCCTGCATTCATGAATCTAAACAAAGTAGCAGCACCCGTTTCAGAATGAACCCGCAAATTTTTTATCTGTTTTTAGGTTTCGACAGTATCGTGAAAGTCAGGCCACTGCGGCAAAAACACCACAGACTTAGATGTTTCGGAATGGGCTTGTTGTGGCCGCGAATACCTCGAGATATTAAAAGCTAAATAGAATTATGAATTTCCCTCATCGGAGGAGATACTTATCTCTGATTGTACATTAATTTTCAAAATCAAATCAACGTCGGAATCAGAGTTTTAAATTCTTTGGACAGACAGGGAAAATTTTTTTCGCAAACGTGAGTGATTTTTTTTTTATCCAACCAAACAAGGGAAAAAATTAAATCACTGAGGCAATTTATTAAATCTCGAGACATCAGGGCTTATTAAAAATTTCTAAACGTCCCTGTTCTTCGATGGGCTCAGGTGAACCACAAATACATTTGTCAAACAACCCAAAAATGAGAAAAAGATTTTGAAAGAACTTACTGCGTGGTTCCCGCGGTCCATCTACGGTTACTTTAATAGCTCTGCAATATGTGGCGACTTGAGGTGGATCCGTCTTCACCGTTATAGTCAATGTGAACGTTTTCCCTACGCACAGGTGAAACAGAAGAAGAAGAAGAAAAAAAAATTAAATAAACTTGATGTAAACAATCGGGACAAAAAATTTCAATTTAACACAGGTAAAACTCCATCAAGCTATTCTCAGACAGACAGTTGAAATTGACAACTTATGTTTGAGGCCCATATAATATATGACATGTTTTCACGAGTGCATGTCGTTTTCCAGATGGCTGGTTCCATACTGAATGCAGTAAGTGAGCGAGTCTTTACATTGCGCGTCAGAGCGAACTACAGCACGTATCTCTCACCTCTTCCGCTACGGCCTACGAATCTCAAATCATTGAAGCGCGCTACTTGATTTTTCATGACGGCGGTCGCGTTGCGAAGTTCGGCGGCGAAGTTCTCGTCATTGCCTGCAGCGATCGAGACGAGAACTCCATCGGGAATATCGCCGAGTGCAACAACTTTGAATGCAACCGGTAGCGTCTTGTTACATCTCCAATGCGATGGTAACACACTACAAACAAAGTTCGGAGAATCAGTTTTCACGAGCTCGCCTGGGTACTCAGCCAGTGCTTCAATGAGCGATCGTTCGCCTCTAATTTTTCGTGGTCCCGCGTTTTCTGTGGCAGTGGTCATGGTTCTCCAATGTGTAAACCACAAGACTGAGCCACCAGAATATGTGTGGCGAGTTTGGCACACTACCGGACGGTGAAATCAACTGAAATGCTTATGGCCAACCACTCCCCTGCAATTTTGACATCTGTTGTGCCTACTTGTTTTGCGTTCTATATGATGTACAAGTTATTAGCCAATAGCGAATGGCAACTTAACCTTGTCACCCGCCCACTGCTGGCATTTGTCCAATGAGCTCACGTACTCCGCATTCCGATGTATTCTCTTTGGACTTTCTCGAGCGTTCCTGTGGTTTAGTGCCTTCACGAGAATCATTGTTTGATGACATTGAAGATCTCAACTGCGGCGAATTTCGCCAATTAGCGGACTCGTTGAAACACGTGGGAACTACAAATGGGGAAATAGTCGTCTTTATATTGTAACAACAAACGATCGCAAACGAACGGTCAGTGAAAGTTCACTCATGCTTAGGTGTGTAAAATTACTCAATGTCAGTGAATCGTTTATACGTAATCGCACGCTTCCCTTAGGCAGAAATTAAAAAAAAATTGCTCCCACTCGACGGAAAGACCAGGCGATGACTAATATCGAAAAATAAAAAAGCAAATCTTGAGAATACTTATTGCAGTGCGTCATTCAGAGTAGGAAGTTTCCAGTCATGTAAGCCCAAAATTTCCTAATTGTCTAGGGTACTCGATGTTTATCTGAGGAAGGATTGATTCCGGTCGAAATCCGAGAGATTTTGTCATCATCGATCGAGTTATATTTTTGTAAGCGACATGTCGATGCTTGTGTCAGCAGTGAAATTTACATGCCGCGCCGCCCGTTTGTTGATTCGCTGTCAAGTTTCGCGCGCTTTTCGTCGAGGCATTGTGGGAAAATAAGCCATTTCCGGTTTGAGTGTATTCCTATGGACTGTCAGTGCTATTTTCGTCGATAACTTCGAACACAATATGACTAAATCTAAATCTAAAAGCAAGAAAAGCGAAAAGGGAAAGGAGAGTAACAACTCAACCAACACTAGCGACAACACAGTAAGTTATCGCAACCATTTTAATAAGAAAGACAGTGAAATCGTGTTTTTGAAAGCCGCCATTTTGGAAGTGATTTCACATTCTAAGTGAATATGGTTGTTTTCTTGTTGGTGGTCAGATTTCTAAACATTTCGTGACATCGAAAACAAATTATGTGACCTTATAACGCATCGTAAAGATTAATTGAATTTTGAACTCGATGAATGCAATGGTTATTCAAAGAACTAACTGATTGATTTCCGGTTCGCAGCCCCCAAGTCGTCCACCGACTCCTGCTATTATTCAAAGTCCTGTGACCCCGAGTTCCAGACTTCCAAAGCCATGGTTTCAGGGTGAAATTCTAAATATGATGTAAGTAAACAGAAAACCAGATTGGTGTTTTTAATCTTGTTTGCGCTAACACGAAAGAATTCACGGCTCAAGTTTGCCCAGTCTGTGCGAGCGACAATGCTTCGCGGTCAAAGATAATTGCCCAGAAAACGTGTTTTTGTTGAAGTTTTAACCGCCTTGGATTCCATAATGAGCTATCTATACAACCACACGTCGGTAACAATACTCTCGGTTTACAAACACATCAACGTTGGGGGTCGGAGTTTTGGAGGTGTTTACGTTCGTATTAAGAGGTTGATAAAATGTAACCACCTCTGTCTCAAGCGGTCTCTGCGCTGTGCTTGCGTTGCGGTTCGTTTGTCGCACGTTTTTGAATCGTGTGCAGAAAGGCTTGCCGAAAAGTGCCGAATTGTTTGATTCTCGCTCATTACACGGCGGTTTTGTCGCGATTTCCTGAGGGCAATTGTGCTGTAGAATAATGGGTCTTTGCTTTGATGATACTCCGCGACGCGTTTTGACAGCTCTTGTATAATGAGTTGCCCCGAGGCCAGGAAGTGTGAGTGGACTCGAGAGGGTTATACAATTGACAAAATATTTTCCCACGAGGGAGCCGCAAAGCGTTTGTGACAAGTGTGATTAACACCACAATAATGCTATCGCGGTTTTGTCGAGAATAGGGGTTATCAGCCGAAGCACATTTTTGTGTGACAACTCAATTGCGTGAGAACGGTCTACTAAACGCTGAGTCGGTGGAAGCAATTAGAGCCACGTGGAGTAGAACGAATTGAACGATGGACAAGGAGTCTCAAGATGCGAACCATTGTTGGGTTTCCGAATTCATATGTTATCGCTTTATCGCTCTTGAAGCGAGCAACTGGCTTCTTCGTGATCATTACACGGTTGGATAGAGGACCAAACTATTTGTTGACAAATCGTGCATAATCGCAAAAGCATGTAAATTAAACTCTATTATGGAGTAATTTTAGTCTCGGTATATTTTTAGCGCTCTTAAATACAGTGTTTGCGGATGAGCAAAAGCAAATTTGCGGTGAGGTCATTGTTAAACAATTAGACTGTTACCTAAATAGCCCGGTTGACCTTGCTTGATGTTTGTAGGACGTTTTCAAGTTAAATTTGTGTATTTTTAGACCCTATATTGGTTAGGGATAATAATTTAGAGTATGATTTAATGGTTGGACTGTTATGCCGGGCGACACAACATAATCTCAATTTACTATGCAGCTCTGCGGCTAAAATCAACATTATCTTTCATTTTTTTAAGGTTATTATTGTGCATGTTGTGACTGGTTAATCTTATGCTCAGAGCTCAACAGTATCATTCCATTAAAAACAGTTTATTTTCTATGGGCTCATAGGTGTGGCAGAGTTAAAAATTGGAGACAAATTCCACAACTTGTGTCAGGGGAAGGGTGGTTGAATTATGCCAATTTGCTTCAAATATTTTTGGCCACATGTTTTGACTTCCAGTATATCTGCTTCATTAGGAATTAACAATTCCTTTCCATTCCTGACTTAGCGGGGGGGGGGACATCTCCAATTTAAACAGTACATGAAAAAATTTTGGGAAAAATTCTCCCATGTGAAAGCATATCCCTTGGGAAAATCCTTGTGGGAGAATAGGAATTTAACCCCTTGAGTGTGGCAAAAGCTTTATTTGAACCCCTAAAAATGCGATTAGAGGTGTAGTTATTCTTTTGTGTTCTGTTGTCATCAAATTACTTTCTTGTAAAGATTATTTTGGTAAATTCATGCTAGATCTATCTAAAAGATCATTTTACAGTATCAGTTGAACCCCACTATGAACTCTCAAGGTCATGATGGTAAGGGTTTGAGATAGCTATTAGTAACGGTAAATGACTGAAAAGTACATCCCTGGAAATGAAATTAATTTGAGTTCCAGATGGCAGGGATTGCAAGGGTTGGGGGGAGGGGGGAGGGGAGAGGAGGCAGGGTGGACTTCTACCTAAAGAAATGTTTTGTTCAAGTGGGAGTTAAAACTTAAGTTTTGATCTAATAATCTGAGAGAGGAGATTGAAAACTTTAAAACATGTGACTTATGAAGCTTATATTAAAATCCCCAGGGGTCAAGCTTAAAGGCTAGTTTTAGCCTAGCAGTTTTTCTTCAGGCTCTAAGTTTATTTCCGATTTATTACATCAAATATTTTGTTTACACTTTTGATCAATTTACCTTGTGCCAAATTTCCTTACTTGTCATGAATCCTGTTGTACATTCTTGTGGGTGTTTTAATTTAAAAGTCTAGAAAGCACCATGTGCTCAAATTTTTGTATAATACAGGCTCTTTTGGAGTTGCATTAGTAATTAATACCCTCCATGTTGATTACTTTAATTATAACATGGAATTATGTATAAATAACTCTGCCATTATGTATTACACACCCTGCTTACCAGACAGATAAATTCAATTGAATATATTATATAACCCTTGTTTATTTTGGCATTATTATCTGCTTACTCAACTAATAAATTGAAAAATGCTTTTAAATTTTTAAACCGGTATTAAAGTATTCATAAACACTTTTAACAAGCTTTGTCACCGGTATATGTGGAAGGAATGTTGTTTAATGAGGAGGTATTTAAGAATGAACTATCAGCTGACCTTATCAGCTTTTTGATTTTTAAAAGAAGTCACTGGCAATTACTACTCTCTGTATCTAGTTAGAAAATAATTAGCACACCCATTTTGCTCAGGTTGCACTAATTACTAGTCATAAGTTTGTTTTGTTACCCTTGTCAACCCCTGGATCTGACCTAGTTCCACTAATGAGGGAAATTTTGTTGTAATTGTTGTTGTGGACTTGAGGTGTGGCCAATAACCAAGTGATGCAAGATATTATGCTTAAACTTAAGAACTTATTTTAAGCTTCTTTAGTTGTAATTTCACAAAGACCTCATTTGACTGTTTTCAGTGGGAAAGAATGTTTTTGCTGTGTGATACACTGTACAAGCATTTTAAAACGTGTATGAAATGTGTAATGTTATTCTGGTGATATCAATGGCAGATAATTTTTGAAACTGAGGAAAATAGTTGATTAGTGAGCTGATAACATTACTTGAGGTACTCCCCTAAATAGGCAATATAGGGTTTGTTCTTGAGGGGTTTTGGTCAGGTAAAGGGTACAGATTTTGACCAGTTTGATTTTTTAAGGAACTACATGTATTAGACTAAATATCGGTAAATCTGTAGCCCTTCTCAAATGCCTACACAAATGGACATCATTTGCGATCATAATTTATTTATATTAAAGCTGTGTACTCATTTTTGAGGTCTGAATTGGGATATCAATTGATAATTTTTTCTCACAGTTTTGAGATAGGGTATGGAAATATAGATTTTGGTCTGAAAACAGGGTACAGGTGTCAAGGTTTGGGCCACACACCATCTCCAAAAACTTTGGGCAGTTCCTCCCACCGCCCACTCCGGATTAACAATCACTTCCTTAGTTCTAAGTTTCGTTAGCTGAGATGGTAATGCTGTTCTTACTCTGTGTGTGTTTTGGAATTGATTCACTGAAATAGGAAATTATGATAAATACTTGCAGTAAAAACTAAGCTGAGATCTATCTGAAATTGAAGACATTATGTCCATCTGATACTTCTGGCTGTAGACATGCAACTGGTTTTATGACACGTGACTCCTGAGACTGACAGAAATTTTTTTTGAGGAAAATAGCGGTCCAAAACTTGATTTGAAGCTTGTTTGAATTTCCAATTACTATTTACAGGCAGGTCTTAATAGTTATTAGGGTTGAGGGGTGAGAAACAAGGGGCTGAGCCTGAATTGCTCTTGGGTTAGCCTGAAGAACACTCAAGTGTTTTTGCTCAAGTGTTCAAGTTTATCATTGAATTGAATCTTTCAAGCTCAGTTCTAAGCTCCAGAGCTTCTTATTTATTCTGGGATTAATATATACTTACCTCACTAATGGGTTTAAAAATGCTTTTAAATTGTTGAAGGAGTACTAATACGAAGAGCCTGCTGCAGGCTAATTTAATCAGCTGAAAAGATCTAATCACCAGCTGAAATTTTGTGTCCATAATTTTTAAGGTGTGCAGGCGAGAAAAGCCAGCTGAGCTTGCTAATGAGCCAGCTTAGTTTTGTTCTTAACTATGTCTTTGGTTTAATGCAGGAGGTGTGGTGCATAATGTTAATGAATTTGGTACTGGATCATGAGTCCGGTATGACCGGCATCATCAATAGGTTTTATTCTCGGGCAAGAAACTTCCCTTAAAGTCTCTCTGTACCCAGGACTCAGTTGTTCAAAGCTGAAGTCTAGGCTAATCTAGGATTAACACAAATTTCAGTATTTGTAACTTCTTGGTAGTATATTCTGTTAAATATATTTTGTTCTTCACTTTCAATTTTGACTAATGTTGATTAAAAGTCCTGTTAAAACATTCCAATGGCAGTGAAGAGCACTCAAGGTTATTAAAAGAGTCCTTATTGAGTTTTAATAATCTTGGGGTTGGGGAATGGTTAATTTGAGACTTTGCGAGAGGGCAAGACTAGACTAGTGTTTTTCTTTGGGAGCCCAAGACATCTTGACTTTTTTAATCCTGAGCCAGAGACTTCATAGTGTAATAATTCTCAAGCAGTTTAAGACCCACGTATGGAGGCGAGATCTAGGCAACATCCTAGATGGATGTAGTGGCTGCCATCTTTGTAACTCATAATTTTAAATTCTCTTATGGGACTTTCCTGTATATTATTTTTAGATAGTTCTAGTTAGGTGTCCCCTATTAGCAGTGGGGATTCTCCACTGCTAGATGTAATTGACATGATAACAAAGTCATTATTATTATTATTATTATTATTATTATTGTTATTGTTTAAATGCGAGTGCATGACATCCAGCCTCTAAGACGTTCAGACGTCATTTACAAAAACACACAAACAAATCGGGACTTGTAGACTTTCTTGACCTTGCAAAAATGGAGACTCCAAGACAGCTTTGCTAAAAAATCGAGACCACAAGATGCACATAACTGCTTATAAAATGAGACTGTGAGACCCATAAAATTCCACAAACATTTTGTAAGACCTATCATTTTTGAAGGACCATTCACCATACTTAGTTTTGAATTATTGTTAGTCACAGTGGCTTAACTACTTACGACCGGGGTCTTTAGTATAATGGATTTCAGGTTGGTTGGAAAACCTAAGAAAATGTAGGAGGTAACCTTAGATATGGACCTGTATTCCATCCAGGTGATGGTTGTTTGAAGGCTGGATAACACTATCCAGTGGATAAATCGCTATCCAGTGGATAGTGTTATCCAGCCTTCGAACAACCAGCACTTGGATGGGATCCAGGTCCATATCTAAGGTTACCTCCTAGTTCCACCCGATAAATCGTTATCCAGTGGATAAGTGTTAACAAAACAAACCACATTATCTGCTGAATAGTGATTTGTCTAGTGGATAGCATTCTCCATCTTTTGGCCAACCCGAGCCAGGGGGAGAAACAGTACTCCTACAGCTACTTAGTGCTGCAGAAAATGGAGTTCTGGTATTGGCACCAGTGAGTCATCTGACTGTTTTGATCCCCTGGATTGTTACACTGTTTACCATTTTACCACTGGCACAACATTTGTAACAAATGTCTTTTGAAAGAATGGCTCCTGTAAGAAATTTGCGACTAAGCAAAACTGTGAGTTAAATACACTATGTTGTGCCCATGTATGCCTATTTGCTGTGAAATAAGGTTAACTGAAAGCAACTCAGACGTGCTCCTACGCACGAAGGAGGTTTAATACTAAGACAAATGGATTAAAGTATTGTTGAAAATGGAAAATATTTACTTGGGTCAATGAGTCTTAAAATCTTTGACATCGAGCTTTTAAGATGATGGATTCCTTTTAGAACTTTGTACAATTCTTTTCAATACCAAACATATTCGTGCTTTTGAGATACTTATGTGGTATTGACGGCTCTCTTCATGACTGGATATTGATTGACAAGTTTGTGAATATCATACTGAAATCAAATGAACCAAATACCACAGGTATTTTTAGGTTAGCTTTTTTTTGTTGCTTTCATTCTTTGAATATTGTTTTTTCTTAGCTGAGCGTTTTGCAGCTTAATTTCGTTTCTAAATTTGTGCTAGTGGGACATCATTGCAGGGGTTTCATAAATTAATGTTTTTAGTCTGAGGGCAACTGCTTTTTACAGGCTGGCTAAACCTTTTGAACTGAACTTCTTTATAAGAAAAGCTTTCCTCTAGATGGCCAAACCAGGTGGACAAAATCATCCTCACAACTGGTACCTGGCCCTTAATGAAACCCCTGTTATTGGACTTGTTTTAATCCATGCTGTTTGAAATTGTGGATGAAGTACTGTGCACCTTTACAGCATTACAGGAAAATTTGGGTATGGATCAATATGACATTCAGTAAGTGGCTCATGATCCTTCAAAGTACTTGAAGCTGCATTTAGTGAAAACGTCAAGGGGGTACTCCAGTGGCACTCCTTAATGGACTGCCTTGACCCTGAGTGGTGAAAAAAGAAGAAAAAAATCTCAGTCAGTGGTACTTTCATGAACTAATGGCAATAATAAAGATTAAGTCTCTGGGGAAAAGGAGGGATGTTACCTTTACAGACGATGGAATGACTAGTAGTGGTGATATGTACATGTATCTTTGTGCAGCAGGTATTGCTTAGGTGGAGCTGGGGGAAAAGGATAATTTATTTAGTATATGTTATTTGAATTTGCTATGTACAATGTAGCAAAAGTCTCTAATCTTTTCAAATGGGTATTGATATTTACCTTAGGGAATTGTTGCAATATCTATAAGGGGAAGTAGATGAGATGTTATAATATCAGACTCTTTTAAACATTCGTCGTTATATTATTAATTGCTTCTTGATTTAACTGAAAGTGATTTTTTATGCATTTAAGATTGTATTCTATTCACAAATTGAATGAACCAATGTGTGATTTTGCTAGGTATGCCTTTGGTGACTCAAGAAAACCATCAACAGATTCAGCCTCCCTGATTGAAGAAATTGTCCACTCACAGATGGCTAGCATGGTATTTGTTTTTATCCAGGCAACTTTTTGCTTTGTGTTTGTCCATTAAATCTTTGAAAAGGGAAACAGTAAGGGAACAAAGGGGTAGGTGGAAAGCATTGGAGGCAGGAAACATAGTTTACTGCATATAACTGCTGTCCTCACAGGGGGGATACTCATACATAAAAGTGATGGGGAAGTGCCCAAAGGTTTCGACAGATGAATGAGAAGTATATAAAGTAAAGTGCATGAAGAATTGTCTGGTACTCTCATGATGCTGTTCTGTAATTTTTTTCTATTGTTTTTTTTTTATGAGAAGGAAAAAGGAATTTTCTTGGGTCATGTTCTGGCTGGTTGGACTTTTATGAGGCTCTGACAATTTGCCCTCATTTGCACCTTACATTGGCTATCACTGGTATACTTGAGTACTCCCTCTGGGGCTGTGCCTGTCCCCAATCTCTTAGACAAAGAAGTTTACCATAGCTGCAGTCGACTCCCGATAACTTGAACCCTCGTTAACTCGAACCTCACGCTTACTCAAACCAAAATTGATTTCCCCTGGATGTTTGTCATACATTGACTGTAATTTTATCCTCGGTAACCCGAACCCTTGATAACTCGAACCTCCAGCTAACCCGAAGCAATTTTCGTTTCCCTTCAGGTCATTTTCTCTATAATTTTACCCTTGATAACTTGAACCATGTCTGTCAATATGTGACAAGTCAGAACAAACAGTGTATTGTAGTCCAAAACATTAAAATTTCATTTTGAAGCAGCTGTGTGAACTTTTTCCTTTCTTTTACATTACACAAACCTCAGGGTTCATACAGGCCATGCATGGAAAACCTGGAAAGTCATGGAGTTTAAGAATTTCATCTTCTAGGTCTGAAAAGTTATGGAATTTAATTGTTGGTCCTTGAAAGTGGTGGAAAATTAAAGTTTTGTTTGATAGCTTAGTTACTGCAGATGACAAGGCAAGGAAAATGTAAGATAGAGAAGAGTAATTAAACAGCGCAAAAGGCATGCATTTTGGTGGACGTCTGAGTTTGTGTCTGCTGAACTGTTTGAGGTCAAATAACACTCTAAAACAAGGAAAGTTTTTGAATATTTGAAACTGATAGCTTAACCTAAGGTCTTTTAAAACTTGAAAAGGTCATGGAAAAAGTCATTGAAAGTCATGGAATTTGAAGAGCTAAAAAAGAGTACGAACCCTGAACCTGTCAGTTCAGTTTATACGAAATTAAGAAATGTATTGTTCCATTTTCACTCGGCTTCCCTAAACTGTATAATTAAATTTGATTAAAATGTACACTGCATGAATAGAAAAAGGAAATCGCATGAACTTGAAAATGTAAATTGTGTGAGCTTTGTTCCGGTAGCCCAACATTGTTCTCTTTAAAAAATCTCTACAGTTCACAGTTTCTGGACTTCTCCTTGCCACTTTCTTTNAAAGGAATTTTCTTGGGTCATGTTCTGGCTGGTTGGACTTTTATGAGGCTCTGACAATTTGCCCTCATTTGCACCTTACATTGGCTATCACTGGTATACTTGAGTACTCCCTCTGGGGCTATGCCTGTCCCCAATCTCTCAGACAAAGAAGTTTATCATAGCTGCCGTCGACTCCTGATAACTTGAACCCTTGTTAACTCGAACCTCACGCTTACTCAAACCAAAATCGATTTCCCCTGGATGTTTGTCATACATTGACTGTAATTTTATCCTTGGTAACCCGAACCCTTGATAACTTGAAACTCCAGCTAACCCAAAGCAATTTTCGTTTCCCTTCAGGTCATTTTCTCTATAATTTTACTCTTGATAACTTGAACCATGTCTGTCAATATGTGACAAGTCAGAACAAACAGTGTACTGTAGTCCAAAACATTAAAATTTCATTTTGAAGCAGTTGGGTGAACTTTTTCCTTTCTTTTACATTACACAAAACGTCAGGGTTCATACAGGCCATGCATGGAAAACCTGGAAAGTCATGGAGTTTAAGAATTTCATTTTCTAGGCCTGTAAAGTTATGGAATTTAATTGTTGGTCCTTGAAAGTGGTGGAAAATTAAAGTTTTGTTTGATAGCTTAGTTACTGCAGATGACAAGGCAAGGAAAATGTAAGATAGAGAAGAGTAATTAAACAGCGCAAAAGGCATGCATTTTGGTGGACGTCTGAGTTTGTGTCTGCTGAACTGTTTGAGGTCAAATAACACTCTAAAACAAGGAAAGTTTTTGAATATTTGAAACTGATAGCTTAACCTAAGGTCTTTTAAAACTTGAAAAGGTCATGGAAAAAGTCATTGAAAGTCATGGAATTTGAAGAGCTAAAAAAGAGTACGAACCCTGAACCTGTCAGTTCAGTTTATACGAAATTAAGAAATGTATTGTTCCATTTTCACTCGGCTTCCCTAAACTGTATAATTAAATTTGATTAAAATGTACACTGCATGAATAGAAAAAGGAAATCGCATGAACTTGAAAATGTAAATTGTGTGAGCTTTGTTCCGGTAGCCCAACATTGTTCTCTTTAAAAAATCTCTACAGTTCACAGTTTCTGGACTTCTCCTTGCCACTTTCTTTATTTATATCTTTCACATTACATTATGTTCCGATTTATACAGTAATTTAGAGATGTATTGTTTTATTTTCTCTTGGCTCCTCTATTCTGCAATTAAATTTGATTAAAATATACACTGCATGAATGGAAAATTCTTTAACACTGTTTTCTCCTGGTCATTTGTTCTCAGCTCCTGATAACTCGATCTCATGGATAACTCAAACATATTTCAATTTCCCTTGAAGATTCGAGTTATCGGAGGCGACTGTATTTGTCAAATGTGTTCACAAGATAATAATTAAAATAGAAATTAAAGAGGGTGTGTTTAAACATGAAATGTTGAAATGACGGAATAGACTACAGGTAAGAGTCAATGTACGATACCCTTACAATTATTGAGAGTTAACCACTGTCAAGTCAGTGATATAGTTTAGGCTAACCTGAGTGCTATTTAAGCTAACTGGAGCACTATTTAGACTAACCATAGTACCATTTCATCATTTCCCTATTTTGTGTTTTAAACACGCCTACTTAAAAATAATACTCAAGGCAAGGATAAAAATAGAAAAATACTTATAAATAAATAAATAATTAAAGGAAAGGATATTTTATATAAATCAAGCCAAGTTGTCCCAAATTTTCCATTTCTAAATAGAAAAACCTCAGAATGTGGTTGTGCTTTTTTTTTTATTTCAAACAATGGAAATCTTTGAAACATAGTCAGAAGTTTTGAAAAATCCCACAACATGAGTTTCACATATTTATTCAAGAGACGTCCCAGGGGTCCAAATTGGTTTTTTTTTTAATAATTTCAAAGCTTTGTTAACATTGACAGGTTGTACGAGCTGCAGACATAACAAATATGAGAGGTGGAAGGTTCATGAGTGTCGAGGATATCATCTTTTTAATGAGGAAAGACAAAGTAGGTCTAATAGTAATCATTGTGATGTTTGTAAAACTGATACTCAATTGCAGCTACACACAGAGGAGATTACATGGCTGCATGGAGATACAAAATTCCCCTTTTCATGTTAAAAAATAGTTCATGGGTGGGTGGCTCACTAGTGAAATATTTTTCAACATGAGAAGAGAAATTTTGTATCTCCAAGTGTTTCTCTTTATTTTGTAAAATCCCCACAGTACATAAACATGTCTGTATTAATAACAAGGTTTCTGATGATTTTGTGAAGATTTCCCACCATTTTGCAAAGATTTCCGAAGAATTTCCAAAATTTGTCTGAAGGCCACACAAATGTTTCAGACCATTTACTGAAAATTTTCAAAGATAACTGAAGATTTCTGAAGATAACCAAGGATGTCTGAGGAAGATCCCAAGAAGTTTCAATCATACACCAACAGTTTAAGGGTCAAAATTGATATCAAATATGATGTCACACATGTGTAAATAATATGGTAGCATTTCATTGATTTGCTTCCACTCATGCAGTATTCATTGTACCAATAAATTTCATATCATAAACTCAGGATTTAGGACCACAATCTAGGATCAAGACCACCTGCTAAACTAGGGCTTGACAACTTATCTTTTACAGGAAAAACTCAAGAGGCTGATCAAATATCTCAACTTCAAGGAAATCAAGAATAAAACCCAGAAACAAACCTCACAAGAAGATGATGAAGTCTTAGAAGCTACTGGTAAATACTTTATTTACCGTGTAGTATCAATTTGAGTTAACCTTGAAAAAGGTGTTTAATATGTAAACTACATGTAGATAATAATATTGCTCGTCATTTGCAACTTTTTTAAATGCCTGAGATTTTAACTCAGTTAATAGTACTGTGCAAAAGTAATGACAGTGAAATTTGTTAAATTGCGTTCTTTGTTCTTGTGAACTTTTGTTGAAATTTCAAGCAAACTGATGTGACCTCTTCAACAAAAATTTAATTTGAAAGGATTATACATTGCAAGATTGGCGTGTTTTCTGTAGGCTTTTAGTGAGATGGGCATCTACAGTAGGTGTCCTGTGGATGGCAATCTTTAAGAGAAAATTATTTTATTTAATAAGTTATTTGATTTGTTGCTTTATAAACTGAGAGCAAATTTTGGATGCCAAGTTTAAAAATCGTGGCTAAAAGTCTGGTTTAAAGAAACATCTCTTGACTCTTTTTTGTTGTAGTGAGTGATGTTAAAGGTAACAAGAGACGAAAGATTTCCTATGACTTTGTCAGCACAATAGATCAGACAGGTGGGTTAATAACTAAAGTTAAATCACATTTTTCCAAACAGGAGAGTGTGTCATCTTAGCATGTAGAAATATCTGATTAATGTAAAATTAATATTATTTTGGTTAATTATATGATACAAATTCAACTCTAGGTCACATCTTTTGATTCTGTTAACAGTGGCCACTGCTGATCTCAATATTGTTGTGAGCAAGATTCCAGAGCTTTCATTAAGGGCCATAACCCATAATGCCTGTTACGGCTGAGTATGCTTGATCGGCCCTTGTTGTTAAGTGCGAACTTGCCTGTCGTTGATGCAATTCACCCACAATTTAACAAGTTTGTTAAGGTTTTGAAAATTGAGGCAACAGGTGACTCAAAACTTAATGGCATTCCCTGAAATCATCGTACAACTACACAATTTACATTCTGGTACTGTTTGGTTTTAAATTGACTGGAAATTAAACTGTGCCATTCAAAAACAAAAGAAACATACATGTAACAGCTTAAATCCTTATCAAGGGCCATGTGCAGTTCAAAAACGATATAGGAGAAAGTATTGACCTGGCAGGGATGGAAAAGTAATTTTGACAGTGCTCATCATTTGGGTGAGTCGCCTATCAATTCATAATTTTTAACAAATAATGAGTAATCTCTTCTCACCCAAAAGATTGTTACTTTCCTGGGGAAGTAGGTGAACACTGATTTCTCTGCCCGGTATCATCAGGATACAAAATGGGATAGTGTTGAATACTTGCATGTACCCTTTTATCAAAGGTGTCTGTTTTGTCAGTTTAAAAGTCAAAATAACCAAACTATTCCGACCAATAATTATTTCCCTGGTTAGCATTGTCAGGCTGAATCTCTCCTCTGACCTGATAAATTTAAGAACACTGACAAGCGTCTATTGTTTGATGATTATTTTATTTCTTTACAGGCGATCTTGTGGCTTTGTTTGATGACGATGATATTGATGAAGTGAAGCAAGAACGAAATGAGGTAGGAAAGACATTATTTTCTGAGGTTTAATCGTGCAAACCACCCGGGGAGTGGGAGGGGGGGCAGGTACTCCCTTATAGGGAAGGGTAAGGGTTTTCTGCTGTTTTGGTCATAAATAGGGTATCGATTTTGGCTGTTTTGGTCTTAAATAGGGTATGGTTTTAGCACTCTAGTCTTGGATTGGGTATGTTTCTTGGAAGAAGCTACTTTTTCATCATTATCAATAAGACGGTCAACAAAAGCCCTTCATAACTTATGTTTAGGGCAACTGTGCTAGCCATAATGGTCATAAATAGGGTATCGAATTTTTGGCCAGGTCATAACTGGGGTAGCAAAAATCACAGATTTTGGTCACAAATAGGGTAAGGGTTTTGGGAAGTGGGCTGCACACCCCACCCATCTTTTCTGGGAGTACCCCTCCTCCCAGGGCAAACCATCATCACCAGGGTTGTAAATGAGGTATTATATAGTAGCTCACACTTTCAAGTGTCACTTAACATGCACTGTGTTTTTGTGATGTTTATTCAGTATTCTTTATTTGTTACTTAGAGTGACTAGGAGTATTTCTACTTCCCCCTGGTTGATGGTGAAGATCCAACATTATGGCTGGTTAACATGCCGAACTCTGGATCAAGCAGTCCAGATTCAAGGCCTGGCCAGGGTCATTGTATTGCATTCTTGGGCAAGACATTTTATTCTCAGTACCTCTGTCCATCCAGTTGTTTAAAGCATAAATGGATACTGGCATTAGTCTGATGCTGGGGGGTTACCCTGTGATGGACAAGCATACTGTCCAGGGGGAGTAGAAATACTCCTAGTCACTTTATGGAACAGAAATCGGGAAAGCTCTAGCTGTATGCACCACTGGCCTGATGCAGAATTTACTTTTTTTATGATTCATCTGAGGTGTTTTATTCCTTCTTAGTTCATCTCATTTTAAATAGGACAGGTCCATAATTTATTTCTATATATAAGGTGTGCAAATTGCTATAAGATGATATTAATAGAAATATTATTTTTCCTACTTTCAGAGAGCAGACCGTTTCTCACGAACTCTTGATCCTCAACAGTACCTGGAATTTACCGAGTGTCGACAGGTCAACTTCAGTGAGTAAAATGTGTTGCAATGTGACTACTCCAACCAAGGCCATCTGAAACAATTCTGTGTAAATTAAATGAATGAAAACCTCGAATATTAACAATAGATTTCCTCTAAATTATTGATTTAAGCAAGCTTAACACCACAGAAACATTAAATTTGTGACCATTTCTATTTGTTTACACACTCAAATGGTATAGAACTTGCATGGTTGGAAGTAGTTGCATTGTAAACTACCTAGGAACAGAGATGTAGATCAGACTGTCTATCAACTCTACTGGTCTCATAAGTTAAATATATACATATATAGCAAATCAATAGTAGAAATTAGAAGACCAAAAGGGATTGCGTGAACGGGAAAAGTATCCCATGCGAAGCGCAACCCAAAATCATTCAGATAAAATTAACAGCAGTGGCAAGGGCAGTTACAGGAGAGGAACCAGGTGAAGGGCATTTCAATATTATAAGTGGTGTCCAGTAAAGTAAAATAAGTGGCAGGCAGAAACTGTTTAAAGAAACATACTTAGACTACAAAACTTGTCATGATGGGCAAGATTACAGATAATGTTCCAGGGTTGCAAAGCAATGGCCTTGGTTGATATATTTGCACTGTAAACTACTTAGGAACAGAGATGTAGGTCAGACTGTTGCAAAGCAATGAACAGAAGTCCCTCACCTCAGATCCATCATACTGGATTATCTCAACTACTTAGACCACCGGAATTCTTGAAAACTCAAACTCAGAAACATTATGATTGCGTTTCCTTTTCCATGAGAGACGCTGTGGCCTTAATGGTTGTTGCGATGGACTTATCTATAAGCAGCCTGGGATTAAGTGATGGTTGGGGTTGATTTGATATGTCTAAAGGCAAGGCACTTAACTCTCCCAGTGCCTTTCTCCACCTAGGTGTATGGGTATTAGCAATCTGTAAGGAGACCTGGAAAAATGCTGAGGACTAGCCTGGATGGACTAGCTTCCCATCTAGGTCGGGCTAGCGATAATTCTAGGTGCATCATATTACAGAAACTAAGATAAGCTCTAGGAGTGTTGGCTCCTTTAGCTTACTCAGCTTCTCTTCTTGGTATGAGCTTACAGGTGTAAATTAGTCAACACTCATGTTGCCCAACTGTCTGGAAATGATACATGTAGCTAATTCAAACTATGTGATTCTTTCTGTTATCTTGTAGATAAGAAAGCTGGAAAGTTCAAAGAATGGCTAGATTGTGCGTCGCTTATTGACATGAAACCAAACACACCTGTGATGGATGTCTTCAGCTACCTTGCTTATGAGACAGTTGGACAGGTGGGGAAAGAATCTGTGTTTGTTTCTTATACAGTCAAACCTCTTGTTATGGACACCTCGATTATAAGGACATCTCCATAATACAGACACTTGGTTCTGACCCTTTGATGTCCATATTAAAGAGGTTCCATTGTACTTCCATCAAGTATAAATTTTTATATCTCAGAGGGTTAATACCATTTCATGCTGAAGCAACATTAATCTATTATTCTATAATATTAATGCTAGACAAAACTAAACCATGGTTTTTAACCTCTACTTCAAATTATTACAGATAGTGGACTTGGCATTACTGGTGAAGAAAGATTTGGAGGAAGGTGATGTGTTGAGTCAAGCCATGCCACCTGTGTCTATTCTATCAGAAAGTCAATCATCAGTCATCACACCAGGAAGTGCAACGTCCACCCCTTCCACCCCTAACCACACCCCACCCGGTACCCCCACCACGCCCACTACCCCATTCCTGCCAAGTCCTACCCCAAGTGGATCCAGTACTACTGGGATTTCATCCAATACACAGAGTTCATCTTTACCATCAAAACCAAAGAGCAAAAAAAGGAAACTTAAGGTTTGTTATTCAGTTTGTGAGAGTAAGATGATCTCATAAGCACCAAGTTTAAGTTTAATAATACTTTGTCATGCTAGTACAAGTAAATAAATCACAGAAATTACAAAAAGTACATGACTGGAGAATAATTGAGGGAAACTAAATTCCCATACAAAGAATATTCTCCGATATGAAACGTATTAACCAAGGTTTCTTAAACAATTTTTAGAGAAGTACTCTGAATTCCTCTCCTGCCAAATTACTATAATGGTTATTGTTAATGAACTAGAATGTACCATGCTGGTTTTTGCTAATAAAAATGACATTTTTTTGTTATTTTTTCAAGGCAAAAAACCTATAGCTAGCAGCCTATGATGTGTAACATCTCAGATATTTTAGCTTGTCAGTCTTGTGTTAACTTAAGGTGTTTTATGTGACCTGTGATATGAGTCTTGGACAGACTCGACAGGAGTGGCTGCTACTGTTTTTTTTTTTTTCCAGGGATCAGGTGCAAGCCTGTCATACAGTAGTGGTGATTGCATTCAACCTCAACACATCAGAGAAGCCATCAGGAGATATAATCATTTCATAGGACCCATGGCCCCATTCTCAGTAAGTTAATTTTGTTCTGTGTCTCCTTACAGCTTAAACAGAGGAATCCCCCTTCCCATGAATTTACAGCTCAGTCAAACAGAAGGGATGTAGTTAAGGGCCAGGTACCAACTGGCTGAAATTTTGCTAGAGAGCCAAGAGTTGGGTTAATGAAATCTAATATCAACCTCCTGGAGGTTTTCTTGTGTGAGACTTCTTTATCTTTCACACATGAAGTACGAAATCGCACTTCTCTACTCGTTTCGTAAGGTAAAAAAATTTTTACCCTAAGAGGAGTTGAACACAGGTCGATAGATTGCAGTGCGAAAGACATCTCCACTTGACCACCGAACCTAGCTACTGGAAACTGGAATTTTTTGGATGCATATCCTTACCTTTCGGATCTAACCCTAATATAATATAGGCTAACTGCAAGCAATCTAAGCTAACTTAGGCTAACTGTAGTGATGCTTAGGCTGACCAGAGTGCTAGTTATGCTAACCAGAGTGCTAGTTAGGCTAAGCGGAGTGCTAGTTAGGCTAATCGGAGTGCTAGCTAAGCTAACTGAGTGCTAAATCATATGCTGGTCAATAAAGAAATCTTATGTGGTGTAATTCATCATCAGGTATCCACCTCCCAGAGGTTGATCTTAATTTTTCTTTACCCAAGAGTTGGGCTAATTTTGAGGGTGCACAAGCAAGAAAAACTGGCTAAGGTTGTTAACAAAGTTGTTAAGTTATTTTTGGCTACATCTCTGGTAATGTCTGCATGTTCTCTTGTTAAAGCTGACCAATTTGACACACCATACCAGTTTGAGGTTTTGTGTCATATTCACAAGTCAGCTAATGATTCTTACCATTAGTTTTGAATCCCTTACAAACTTGGAGGAATCAAAGGAACATACACTACTTGAGTATGAAATCATGTCTCTGAGAAGTTTGTGTCTGCCTGGCCTGTGAAATTGTCTCTGTGCATGAAATTTGTATGACTTTAAAGTTTCATGTTGCAGGTGTATGTGGTTTTGTTAATGTTTCTTATGGAAGTGGGAACAAAACTTTTTTAATTCATAATTTTTTGTTAAAGTAGGGAGTTAACACTTGAAATAAATCTTCTCTTGTGATGAGTTAATACACCATCAATATCTTTCTGCTCATGTCCTACATGACACCTAGTGGCATATAAAGGACAGATGACGATCTTGCTGTAACTTATGACAATCTGTGATTGACTGATCATATTTTCTCTCTTCAGGCACATGCGAGACCATCACCTGGTTACAGAACATTATGCTGTTAGCTATAGACAACACCTTACTTGGTGGCTAGACAATTGAATTCTACAAACAGAACAAATCAGGAAGCTCAATGTGTACAGTTGTAATTTTATGTTTGAAAGAAGATTAAGGCTCAGTTTTGGTAAAAGAGAGTTGAATACAAATGTGAAGGGAAGTTCATTAAACGTTGATAAACACAGTTTTAGACAACTGTTTAATTTTTGAAAATATAGACCTTCTACATTGTAACTAGACAAATTAGAAAAAGAACTATATGGATTGCAAAGGTTCTTTAAAGAAACTGTTGTACTGCATCAGCAGGTGAGTGAATAGACTTTATAGCAGCTAATCTGTTGTATATAAATGTCTAAGTTGCTAATAAACAGAGAAGAATCAACCAAAACTACATGTTTGTGACATGGTTTAATTATCTGTTCATCTATGTACAAATATAAAATTCTAAGTACTGCAGTTAAATTATTACAACTTCCACGACAAAATGGTGGAGCATAAGATGCATCAGTTTGGAAACTAAATTTGAAGAACTGGTGAATTGAGATCGTATAGTACAAGATGTTATTATAAATATTGTTCAAGTATGATGCAACTTTATGTTGACGATACAAATACAGCTCATGAAGGGAGCAATAGTGCTTCCTTGAGCATTCTCTTCTGTTCAGGGTTGAGTTGGTTTGGGAATTCTATGTTGAACTCTATTATAAGATCTCCCTTGGTAGCTGGATCCTTGGAGATGGGCATTCCCTCGCTTGGTACCACCTTCTGATAGCCTGGTCTGAAAAAGGGAGATTTTAGTACATTAGAGTGCTTCTCCAGTAATTATGCAACATTTCTAACTAAAAATAAAACCATCAAGCTGTTACCTATGGCACTAGCCTCAATGACAACAAAAATATAATCAGAACTCAAATTAAAACAATTGAAGAAAGGTAAGAAAAATATTAAGTGGCCAATTTTTTTCTTCCCCCCCTCTCCTACTAAGGTTCCCATCCCTATTCCCCACAACCCACTAGCCCCACATACACTATAAGCAGTCTTTCTTGTCTTCGGTAGTTTACATAGTGTCAATTTTTCTTTGTCTAAAGTACACTTAGGGTGCATTTCTTAACGAAAATCCAAAATTGGATTGTTAAATCTGAAAATGAATTTCGCATTGGTTTACTAAACAGATTAATCTAAGATCACTCGGATCATGGTGCAAAGGAACCAAAGAATCCTTGCCCAGAGTGGATCCGTCTGTTCCTTTGACACACCATGATCTGAGAGATCTTGGATTGACCTGTTTAGAAAAGAAACACAAAATCCATATTCAGATTTAAGAATCCAATCTTGGACTTTCTTAAAGAAATGCACCCTTAATACATCTTCAAAAATCTCCCAACACTTACTTGACAATGTCATTGATTGGGATGCTTATGAGTCGTCCATCTAGTGTGGGAACATCCACTACACATCCTGTGAGTGCCTTTCAAAGAAACAGAAAACTTGTGTCAAAATTGTCTAACATGCCCCAGTTGATCTAATAATGGACAGTGACATCCACCAGATAAATCACTATCCAGTAGATAGCATTGTCCACTATTTGAACAACTGGCACCAGGACTTGACTAAAGAGGTCTCCTTCTCAGAAGCGGAGAAATACTTCTCTTCCCAGTATATATATACAGAGGTTTCTTGCCAGGTAAAGTTGTGCAGATTACATGGTAAGGTGTACACGAGGGGAGCAGGGATGGCGCAGTGGTGAGAGTGCTTGCCTCCCAACAATGTAGCCTGGGTCTGAATCCTGGACCCGGCGTCATAAGTGGGTTGAGTTTGTTGTTGGTTCTTGCCTTGCTCCGAGGGTTTTTCTTGGGGTTCTCTGGTTTTCCTCCCTCCAGAAAAACCATCACTCCTAAATTCCACTTTGATCTGGAAACAGTGGACAGAGACCCTCTCTATTGGACGTGCCTCTGCAAATTCCTATTTCTTTATTTTATGAACCATGTTTTTTGGCTGATGGGGGAAACTTTGTAATGCTATGGTTTACTGGGAGTTAGATCGAGTTGTCTCCGATTTAAAACAATATTACTAAGCACTCACCTTTCCAAGAGGAACAGTAGCAGTATAAATGATATTGTCGTCATCGCGTTTGAAGATTGGATGAGGCTTGTCTTTAACAATAAACACAATGTCCGCTGAGGTGAAGAAAGTTACAGAAAGTTATTCATGTATCCATCACAATATCAACTTAAAAATTATCACTGAAGGGGAGTTGTTTTGAAGAGTGAAGAATACGGATATAAAACTGGTTATTTTGGTACAATTTGGTACTGCCTCCTTCGGGGGGGAGGGGTGGGTGGGTAGGTATGAATATTTTGTAGCACCACACATTTGCAAATGGTTGTTACCTGGTATATTGTTGGGACCCTGGTCTCCCTCCTTGGGAAATGTGATTTTTGTTCCTGCCCTCCAACCTGGTTTCACGTTTATTGTTAAAATCTTGTCCCGAATATTGGATGTGTGACCATCCTCATTCATCACCTGTTGATGTAAATTTTAGCTAAATACGTCATTTTGATATATAAATAAGTTACTTAAAAATCACTGTTCAATTTCCATTTGTTGGGATAAGCCCTCGCTAATGTAAAATTATCTTAAGGCAATTAATGAGTTGATGTGACCTTTTTTGGGCTAGAGGAGGTCACCAAGCCTGTATGAGTAAACAGACGTCTGAAAAAAATCATCAATCCTTTGTAGACAGAAATCCGACATTAAAGCCGAAAAATCCAGAACAGAGGGCCATGTTTACCTGCTAAATATTACAAGTGACTACCACAGTCCAGTGTACCAACAATAAATTAGACTATTATGTCTCCACCCACCCCCTTTCATGTTTGTGCAAGTACAATGACAACAACTTGTAATTTAAGAAAACCATACAGTTTGTATAGCATGCATACTAAAGGATATACATTGTATGTATATATATATGTATGTATGTATGTATGTATGTATGTATGTATGTATGTATGTATGTATGTATGTATGTATGTATGTATGTATGTATGTATGTATGTAT